CGTGAAGGAACGTGTGCAGTGGCCTCCCAGAGAGATGGTGATACAGAAGGGTGGGTCGGTGGCATGGTGGTGTGGTGGTGACGTAGTCAGATAGCACAGCAGTAAGGGAAGTTGAATGCCAGCACCAAAGGGGAGAAAAACTTCCAACTCCCCATAACACAATGGCAGCATGGGCAAGAAAATGAAATTCACCTTCAGGAGGGAGGAAGAGATTTAAAACATCTGGAGGGAAATCATTAGAAGGCCAGATAATCAATTGCAGAGTGCTGCCAGGGGTGATTACAAATGAGTCTCGACGTCAGGAGGCAACAGAAAAGGCCGGCGTCCCTGGAAGCTGCCAACACTGGGGTGTCGCTCCGTGAGGCGTGAGGCCCTGGCTTCTTGGAACAAGTGTGACGGGCGAGGGCACATCTGGAAAACTGGGTACTTTCCTTGCACCCCATTAACACAAAGACACCGAAAACCTGGAGGGAGTTCTGACGTGACTGACAAGCACAGTAAAGAGACTCGTAGAAATAGTGTGTAAGAGGATGAAAGGGCAGGGAATAGCCATGGCAATGGGTAGAAAACAGCACAAAATATTAGTAGTCTCTCGAGGGAAACAGTGAAGGAAGGGCTTGGCATGGCTGCTCTGCGAGGGGAAAAAAAAAAAAACACAAAAAAATAAAACTAAGAGGAACAGGAACACTTTTATAACGCATGGAGCAGGGGAAAGGAAGCCAAATGGGAGAGAACATGTTGCCACAAAATCCATCAGATCCGAAAAGAAAATATTGTAACCTCCCAGGAAATGTTTTCAAACGCACAAGTGCAGAGATCTGGGACGAGAGTTGCTTTCGCCACGGAATGGTCAATTATTTACCATTGAAACACAGATTGGAAAGGATGGCAATAACCGTGATGCTAATAATAACAGCAGCAGCAGTAGCAGCAGCACGGAAAAAGCTCTTGTTATGTGCCCGGCCCTGGGCTGAGCACTTGATGATCGCATTAACTCATTTAATCCTGACCAGAATTCTGCCTCTGGTACTATTATCATCTTCATGGTTTTAGGAAAGGAAGTCGGAGGTGGAGTTAAGTAATGCCGATGGACACGGAGCAAAGCAAGTAGCAAGCCAGGATTGGAACCCCGGCAGGCTGGCTCCAGGGTTTATATCCCAAACCATGTAATGCTCTTTTACTTCTTTGAAAACCAAAGGAGAGGGAAATGGAACAAACCCCCCGGGGATGAGGCACAGGCTAGAGGAAAGAGCTGGGCCTGAAGTTATTAAGTGGAAGATTCTGGAAACAGCCCCCTTCTGGAGTGACGTCATTGGGCTGTGGTGTCGGTCGGCTGCCTGTGACTCCAAGTCATGTTGCTTTTGTCGGAAAAGGAAGCTCATCCTGTGGTTCTGTGTGAAAAGGTGGTTAGTCTCTGAAGACAAGAACCCGTCATTAGGAGAATTCCTACTACACGCTCAGCTGGGACGGAAATCCTGAGTCAGACCTGACGTGAGAGCCTCTGACACTTTGTCCTGCCCCCTGGAGGTGCCCGGGGCCCTGGCAGGATCCTCAGGCTGTGGGCATTTGGCTGAAGGGCAGCTTGATCTAGTCACTCAGTCACAGATTCAACAGATAAACATTCACTCAACAAATAAGTAGACATTGCTTTGTTCCTCAGACTGAAGTCAACTCTTAAAAAAAAAAAAATCAGTTTGAGAAACATCAACTTCAGCAACTGTGAAGTTCTATTGTATGAAAATATTTAGACCAAATAAATCAGCGTTAAAAGTATAACCCATCTGAAAACACAAAATGTAACAAGTATGGAACCTGTGGAATCCCCAGAATGCATGGGGATCCATAAACCCTAGTTCAAAAAACAAAACTTACAGAGCCCCTGTACTATGGGCAAGGATGGAGGGGGAGAATACAGAGACGAGGCCAAAGTAATGCTTGTCCTCAAAAGCCTTACAGTCTAAGAAGGGCTAGGCTCACATATGAACTTGACTCTACCACTGGGAAGAAAGAGATGTCGTTAGAGCCACAGACACAAATGGCTACGAGATTGGGGCGAAGACCAGAAGTGAAGTGGCATGTGCTTGACCTTGACAAAGAGAGGGAGATGAAGACAGTAGTAGCACAGGAGAGGAAGAGAGATGCAAACCAGAGCTGCAGAGAGGGATGTGAGCTGAGAAATGCGGGTGGACTTGGAGAGAGAGTGATTTTGTGCAGACCCAAGGAAGGCTGAGGGTAGCACTCAAATCAAATTAAGCTGGATCCTGCAGGTGGCAAGGGTTCATCTAGAGACTGTGAGAAGAGGGTCATGTGACCAGAGCTGGTCTTCAGGAAGATGGTGCTAAGAGTGGAAAGACCCAGGAGCCTGGCAAGCAGAGCTGGCCAGGAGGCTGGGCATCTGTGGGAAATCACATAATCAGAGAGGGAGGCAAGGTTTGAGAGCTTTCGCCCACGGGAACCTACAGGCAGTGGTGACTGCCAGGCGAGGCGCAGGTGCGATCAGGGAAGGCTCTGGGTTGCCAAGCGTGTTACCCAGCAGGGCGATTATGCTCTCAGAGAATTAAAGGGTAGCGGAGAAGTAAATTTGGAAGAGAAAATGATTAATTCCATTTGGGCAACTGCGTTAAAGGGCAAGTAAAACATTCAGATGGAGATCATCTACAGGTAGTTGCAGATCAGAGATGAGAGCAAGGTAAAGCGCTATCCCTTAAAGTCACAGAAATGACGCACCGTGGATAAGGTGATGATGGAGAAATATGTGCTTTAAGACAATACCAGGGAAGTGCCTGGATTCTAGTGTTTGTTCTCATCCCAAGCCAGTCATCCGGGAACTACCTGTTTTCATTGTGTAAGAGAAGGTGCCTGCAAAACCTGCCTAATGAAGCCAGAAAGTGGCTTTGACCAGGAAGGCAGAGGACATGCTCTCTCCCTAAATTAAAGAGGGAGGCCTTTTAAAAATCAGAAAAGTTAAAACATGCATGCACGTGTGTATGTATGTATAATATAGATGGGTGTGTACACATATACTTCACTGTACACATTTGTATTCCCATATATATACTAGAGGCCCAGTGCATGTAACTCATGCAGTTAGGGGTGTCCTTTAGCCAAGCCTGCACCCTCTCCCTGTCCAAGAGCCCTCAGGGGATGTCCAGGCCTAAGCTATCAGTCAGAACCCTTAGTGCTGCTGCAGAGGTAGGAGAGGCTCCTGCCACTGCCACTGTGCTTGCCAGCCATGAACCCAGCTTCTGGCTGAGTGGCACTCCTCCTCTGGGAGCGCACTGATCACCAGAGGGCAGCTCCTGCATTGAGCTTCTGCCCCCTGGTGGTCAGCGTGTGTCATAGCAACCGGTTGTTCTGTTGTTTGGTCAATTTACATATTAGCCTTTTATTATATAAGATAAAATAAAATGTTCTCTAGTCTTCATACATGAGGGGAAGGCTATGCATGTGTCTAATAGGGTGATCAAATACAGGTTTACCCTGAATAGTGCTTGTTTTTATCTGTTTTCCTGATGTGATTAAAACAGTTACAAGTGGCACTCTCTGTCTCTCTCAAAAGTGTGCCAACAATACACTTCTGATCATTCAAAAAGGGTGTCTGGCTTCCAGATCGAACCCATTTAGTTCCTGAAACTCCAACCTACCTAGCTCTCCTCTTGCCCCCTCCAATCATTGTCTCTGGCAGAGGACCTGAAGCATGCTCCTGGCGTGCTTCTCTGAAGGATCAGTAAGCCTGTGGCAGTGGCCTTTCTTGGATGTGACATGTGAAGTTAAAATGTACAGCCCTTCCAGTGGCCTTCTCCAGGAGCAATGGAGAATTCATTTAATCGGTCTTCATTCTATGAAAGTTGGTCACCTATGTAGCATCTCTATGTTGCCAGAATTTTTTATTTTTGTTTTGAAGAGAGAGACATGCACTTTTGTAAAATGCACATACTGTAAACACAGATGACACAAAACACATGACACTTGAAAACGGTGACCACATCCCATAAACACAAAGTGTACCTCAGACCTTTGGTTTAGAATTGTGGTTGGCAAACTGTGGCTCGTAAGCCACCTGCAGCTCTTTGGCCCCTTGAGTGTGGCTCTTCCACAAAATACCACGGCCTGGGCGAGACTATTTTGAAGAAGTGGTGTTAGAAGAAGTATAACTTTAAAAAATTTGCCTCTCAAAAGAAATTTCATGGTTGTACTCTTGATATTTGGCTCTGTTGACTAATGAGTTTGCTGACCACTGGTTTAGATGATTTGTACTCTCTGGATATGTAAAAAAGATAAGCTTTTCAGTAGTGTTTCTATAATTCACAACGCTACAACAGTAAGTTAAAAAACGTAATTTCAGCCGAAACCGGTTTGGCTCAATAGATAAAGCATCGGCTTGGGGACTGAAAGGTCCCGGGTTCGATTCTGGCCAAGGGCATGTACCGTGGTTGCAGGCACATCTCCAGTAGGGGGTGTGCAAGAGGTAGCTGATCGATGACTCTCTCTCATCGATGTTTCCCTTCCTCTCTGTACAAAATCAATAAAATATATTTTTTTTTAAAAAAAAACAACATAATTTCATACAAGGACTTGAACTTTCACTTTTCCAATATATGTGTGCCCAGGAGTAGCGTCTCAGGCCTCACACCGGCTGCTTCTCTGGTTGTTACATCTTCTTAACAAAGGGGTACGTTCTGCTGGAACCCCAGGAAAACCACAAGAAGAGCTAAAACCCAGAGTACCATGATCATTATGGGGTTTTATTGAGTTACAATCCATGTCCTTGGGGGCTACTTTTATTTGCGCAAAAGGAAAATGTGTGTATGTCTGTCACTTTGCCAAAGGATTGGGGTATGACACTAACATTATTTTGACATCCACTGCCCTACGTTCACTTTTCTCCTCCCGTCTCTTTTTCAAGCCATCGTTTCATATTTTTTGCGTTTGTACATTTATTTATGATTAATCATTTCACATGAGAACATAATCTTTTCTCTTTTTCCTTCTCATTGCAGCCTTTTTTGGAAAATACCTCAATGAATATAATGGCAGCTACATCCCTCCTGGGTGGCGAGAATGGCTTGGATTAATCAAGAATTCTCGTTTCTATAATTACACTGTTTGTCGCAATGGCATCAAAGAAAAGCACGGATTTGATTATGCAAAGGTAATTTTCAGGCGCTTTTACACGGCATCAATTTACTGTGTGCATAATGGAGAACAGCCATTTCCAGCAAATTAACCTATCCGCAAGATTGGCTTTCTATGTTCTCACAATGTTAGAATGAGAAATTTTAAGGTAATTTTAAACTCCAGGCAAGGAAAGACTCTCAAGGAACACTGACTCTGTATAGTGACTTTTTCCCCTCATTAGAACACAAGGCAATCAGCCTTTGATGAAAGGATCGTCAGGAAAATCATAGATGCCTCCACTCAGTCTTGTGATAATTTTTGGTTTCCCTCCCACACCCAGAAGACTTGTCCACATAACCAAACCTTCATCTTGGTACTGTTTTGCTTTTCCCTGGGATGAAAGTCAATTTTGCCTTCAGATTTAGATGTAAAAAACGAGAGCAAACAAGTGGAATAGTCAGAGGTTGGGGACCCACACGCCTCCCTGGGACTCCTGTCTGACCAACCTCAGCGATGAGACCAGGGCACCTGCCCCAGGGCAGCTCGCATCCAGGAGTATCTCTAAAGCTGTCCATCCTAGGATTTCCACATCAGTTCCTAGAAACTGGTACTGGCATGCCCCACGGCCCCCTGACAAATGGACCCTAGATTGGGCTTTAAAATTCCCAAGGGTTCTGTGATCACCGGTGTAAATGAGACAATTTTCATATCACAGGAGTGAAGGGGGAAAATACCTTTGAATTTAGCCTGCTCATTGGCTTAAAGTAGCTTCTTCCCTTCCGGCCGTACTCACTTCTTCCTCATTTCCCTAAAAGAAGCCTCGAGTCTGCTCTATGTAGCACAGATCACTACCAAAGAGCCGCTGGTAGAAATGAGGAGGAGGGAACTTAGTGTAATTCGGGCACATTGCGGCCTTGGTGCTTGGCCTGATTCAAGCACCATCAATAAACATTGATGTGAATAAACATTTGGGAGGAGCGAAGGTGTCAGTCTCCTCTTTCCTACCCTTCAGAAAACAATGGATGCAAATGAACTCACACATACCCCTAATAAGTTTTCAGACTCATCCAAGCTGAGAGCTAGCCAGCAGGGACCTCTGAGGCAGATCCGAGCTGCATCCTACAACCTGCCCGGATTGTCACCGCGCTCATTTTTTATCTGTGGGGATGCTCTCGTGCTCCTTGTTCAGGCGATTAACCTCTCTCTCCCTGTTGTCCTAAGGAGACCAATGTAATCTAGATTCCCTCCGAAGACTAAATCAGCGTAACATGCCCATTACCACAGCCGATTAAGTGTCAAAGACAACTGTGTCCAAAAAGAATATATATCTTTTTTTTTTTTTTTAAATGGGGAAAGGAATGAGACAGACACTCCCATAGAAAAAGGTGCTAGCCTGTGGGCTTGTCTTCACAATGGCATGTGACACAGATCCCGTCCCCTGGGTGCTGCTGTGGCAGCTGTTCCAGTCCTTAAATCTACACAGGATTCGTCATGCCTGGAAGCCCGGCCGCTGCAAACCTCGCCCGGGCACTCCCTGACGTTCCTGCTGGAACTCTAGGCCCCTGACACACACTCAGCGAGGCAGGTGGTTTAATTTAAGTTTTCATCTTTTCTTCCCTTTTCGTTCCCTTCTGGACTTGCCTCAGCCCCTGGGACTGGGGGTTAAGTCATTTTATTAACGCCAGGCTCTACTCCCAGCAGCTGTATCATTTTAGCTGTGCAATTAACGGAGGGTAATCTGCAGGAAATCAACTGCTTCCCATATTTAGTGTTGCGAGTACATTAATTAAGAAAATGTTATAGCTTTTCCTGTGCACCCAGGTTTTGGCCAAGGTTTCCATTAGCAATTATTGTATAATATCATTCCTACAGGTGAATTTTTAATTTAAAAGAAAGATCTTTTGTTGGTTTACACACGTGTGCGTGTGCGTGTGCGTGTGCGTGTGCGTGTGCGTGTGCGTGTGCGTGTGTGTGTGTGTGTGTGTGTGTGTGTGTGTGTGTTCTGGAACTGTGAATGTGTAGTGGGTGTTGGTGTTTCCTGCCCTTGAAGTAATTAAATTTTTTGTCAATGGATTACATCAACGAAATCTGAGAATGAAATATGTATCCGGTGTTTTATGTGCTCTAGCATTTGGGTTGCCAGATCTGATCATTATCTTGGGCAAACAGGACTTGACTTTTTTCTTGCCTAATTGCTAAGTTGTGCATTATTTAAAATACATATTACCGCGCTAGTGACCCTAGAAAGTCCCTGGCAACTGACTTGCTGCCTTGGGAAGTCCAGGGTCCCTCCCCGCGTTAGGCCTTACCCCGTCATTCAGGGAGTTGCTTCTGAGGAACGCAGTATTCAAATGTGATCTGATGAATGTCACCTTTTTGTAATTTCTGTTTTATGTCAAATGTATGTTTCAGGACTACTTCACAGACTTAATCACTAACGAGAGCATTAATTACTTCAAAATGTCTAAGAGAATGTATCCCCATAGGCCCATTATGATGGTGATCAGCCACGCCGCGCCCCACGGCCCCGAGGACTCGGCCCCACAGTTTTCAAAACTGTACCCCAATGCTTCCCAACACATGTGAGTAAACCACCGGCTCCGGGACCTGCTGAGCGTGGGCTCTCCTTTGCTCCTCACCCTCTCTCCTTCCACAACATCAGCTTGGGACAGGCCTGCGACCAGGGGCCTCGTCTGGGCTGTCTGATTAGGGACCCCGTTTCTAACCTTTGGAACTTGCTGAAAGGAAAGCAAAGAGGCACACGGGGTGAAGGAGGTGATTTTTATCAAGCGTCCCCTTCAGTTATCTTAACATTCGTGAGTAGAGCCTAATAATAATGATCCAACTGTTTGCTTTGCATAGCAGCGGAGTGGTGACCGGGTCTGGGTATAGAAACATGGGTCATTTTCCAGAGAAAACTGAAACAGCGGTTAGAACTGTGCCAGAAAGCAGCAGGCTGGGCCTTGCCCAAGAAAGAGGTCTGCCCAGGTCACGGCTGTAAAATAATCCACTGTTTCTGTTTGAGAGGAGGGTCGGGGAAGCATGGAAACTGGAGGGACCGTGCAGAGAGCAGGAAGCTGTATGATGCTGAGAGTGCTCCGCAGCCACGGCTGGAAAAGTCTGGGTGCTTTGGCAGCAGAGAACCTGGTTTTGGTGTTGACTCTGTGGACACATTTCCTTCCTACCTGTTGTAATAACACGCAGTCCTCCCCACAGAGCCTCTGGCTCGGGGTTGGCTCCAAGTTTGGCCCGCAAGGAGGGTGGGAACAGGAATCGATATATGTGTATCATTAAAGCTCAAAAGTTGATTCTTACTCTGCTTGTGCTTAAATACCAACCTTTTTATATCCATGCTGATGTTCTAGCCGTGATCCCGGACAAAAAGAACATAGATTGGATGTGCAGTTGACCTGTGGGGGTTAGGGGTGCTGAGCACTGAGCAATAGAAAAATCCATGTATAAGTTTTTACTCCCCCAAAACCTAACCACAGTGCCCTCTTGCTGTTGGTCCCAGGACACCCTCCCCCACTGTGGAAACCAAACTTTGCCCGAGTCCCTTCTATAAAACGGGTAGAACAATGCTTACAGTTGCCTCTCCACACCCAGGGATTCCCAGTTACGGACTGAAAATACTGTTTTCGATCCACATTTGCTTGAATCCATGATACAAAGCGCAGGGATACAGAGGACCAACTGTGTATCTATCACATGAGTGAACCAGTACCGTGTTGTTCAAGGGCCAACTGTACTTCCTGTGTAAAAAGAGGAGTAACTATGAAGGCACTATAGTTCAGGCATGTAAGAGGCAGCCAATCAGTGATTCTCATCATTGATTTGTCTCTCTCCCTTCCTTTCTGAAATCAATAAAAATTTATTTTTTAAAAAAAGAGGGGTGCTCCAGCCCCTGGGGAGCCACTGTGTTTTGGAACTGACCCTGCAGATGGACTTGCAAACCTCTGACAATTTTCCCTACATGTAACCATGGGGCCAAAGGCAGGAGGGAAGCCCATGCATGGTGAGCATCTCCATTACAAAGTTAGGGCCCAGCTGGTCCAGTGAAAGAAAACGGACTGTGCGAGGTTCTTCCAGCGCTGGGACCCACTTTCCCTTTCCTGCTGAGTCAGACATCATCTTATGGGATGGCTTCCTTTGTGGCATGAGCGTTAGTCAGCCTGAGGTGACTTTGTACACCTATAAATGTTATAGGTGAGATTTGAGAAGGGATTGGCAAAGGGTTTTGTGGCTCTCTAGAGTTCCTGTCTTTGAAGCTCCAGGCTGAACCTACAGGAAAGTCGGCCACAGGTTAACAGGTCTGTCTGGCAGCTCAGGGTCAAGCACAGGCAGCAATCGCATGGGGGAGACATCTGTAGAGTTCTCAGGGCCCGGATGATAGCTAAAAAAGCATCTCTGGTTCCAACACCTAAAAACTCTATGTCGTTCCACTGATATGTATGAGTGCCACTTGGGGCACTCTGATGCACAGCAGATAGACCTGAGGAAGATACAGATGTTGACATTGGAGAACTAATAAGCTCAAACAGGGATTGGCCCACGGGGGGCCGAATCCAGCTTGCCAATAGTTTGTATGAATAAAGTTTTATTAAAGCACAGCCACATCCATTTATTTAGGTACTGTCTATGGCTGCTTTCACAAGACAACAGCAGAGCTGGGTAGTTGTGGCAGGTACTGGGTGGTCTGGAGTGCCTAAAATAGTACTTGCTATTTGGTCCTTTACAGAATAAGTTTGCCCCAGATCCCTGCTCCAGGCAACTGTCCAATGAGCCACAACAGCAATGGGACCAGAAGTGGTAAGGCCTCAGAAGGGGGCTATGGAAATTTGGAGGAGGATGTATTCACATCTTTTGGGGGACCCGGAAAAATGCATGGGCCAGGCGGCATCCAAAGTGGGCCTCAAAGGATGGATAACATTCCTGCAGCCAGTTCTACAGAGTGGGCTGATGATTTCAGAAAGAGGATGGGGCTCAAACAAGTGGTCACCACGTAAGTGAGGTGATCTCAGATGTGCCTCAGGAAGTGGACTATGGGTTACAAGGAAAGCAAGATATGGGAAGATAAATCTAGAAAGGGAATGAGCAGAATGTTGAGGATCACTATAAGCAGACAGTCACTGAGGGTTATTTAGTAGGGTGGTGGCATAATATCTGACCCGGTCATTTTTACATGGAATAGTGTCAGTTATTCTTTAGTTTAAATGAGCAACCTGTAAGCCTTATTGGTGAGTTCACAAAGTGAAATCTACACATGGCAGAGGGAAGAGTGTTCTGATCTTAAAGGCACACAGAATGGGTTCCCATCTCAGCTGTCCTCACTAAGTCTGGGAGCAATTTTTTTTAATCGATTTTTTGAGAGAGAGGAAGGCAAAGTGATGGAGAGAGAGAAACATCAATGTGAGAGTGTAACATCCATCATCCATTAGCTACCTCCTAATGCCCCCACTCCCCACACACTAGGGATCGAGCCCAAAATCCAGGCTCGATCCCTGACCAGGAATCAAACTAACAACCCTTTAGTGCACGGATGTCCCTCAACCAACTGAGCCACACTGGTCAGGGCAGGGGCAATTTGTATAACCTCTCAGAAGTTCTATGGTCTCATCTACAAAATGGGGATAATATTAACACCTTGACCTGATGTCATGCATGAAAATCAAGAGAAGCCGCATAGCTAACATCCCCAGATAGGGCCTGGGACATAGAAGTCACTTGATTGATGTTAATTCTTGTCGATTCTTTCTATTAAGATGAGCCATATAACACTGCTCTTTCTTTTTATTCTTCATTGATTCAAGTATTACATAGTCTCCTTTTTCCCCCATAGACTTCTCCCCAGTCACTCGCACCCCACAGCACATGCTCTCACCCTCCTAGTGTCTGTGTGCATTGGTTATGCTTATATGCATGCGTACAACCAAAGGACTTGAGTGCATGCACATAAACACCGCTCTTTCTTGACCTACAAAAAATGCAACCTTATTTGGTTCAACTTAATGTTTAGGGGAAGCACTGGAGAAATGGCTGATTGATACTTGCCCATTGTGACGTGGCAAATCTCTACTCGCCAAGACTCACACTGGGGTGCGCCTCCCGCACCTGGCCATCCTGGAAGCACAGGCCACGCTCCAAGATGGGCTGTGTTACCTCTTCCAGGTGCCGAACCGGCACTATGGGCAGGCGCCCGTTTGGAGCTCAGCCTTAGCCGCAGAAAGTGAAAATCCATGTGGGTGGTTGAGTGACTGAGCTTGTACCTGCTGCTCGCCTGTGGGATTTAGGGTCCCTCGTCCCCACAGGCCTTAGGACCTTGAGTTGCTGGTGTCTTTGTTGCAAAGTCCTCCGGGCTGCCGCGGGGGCAGGGGCTGGAGAGAGTCAGCGTGCACGTCTTGTTACTGTGAGTGACCACACCGGTTCACAGTTTCGTCCGCAGACAAATGGAGGACAAGCTGCCATTTTGGGTGCACGGGGCTCCTGAGTGGCCGGTGTCCTTGGTGCATTAGCAGCACATTGGAGCGAGGGGCTGGCAGCAGGGACGTCACTGCGGAAAGCTTTGGCAGGCCCGGGACCACAGAGCAAGGAACTCAGACTGATCCCCACGGCAGGGCCCACAGAATGCGGACGCTGTCCTTCCGGCCGCCCTCCTTGGTGGTTGGCATTGTTGAGACGCCTTTCGGCTGGCTTTGGGTGATGGCTCTGCGACCCGTCAGCCCCGAGCCAGTGCATCATGTTTGCACAGTGCTTGCCGGTCCCAGTAAAGGACGACGCCAGGCCAGCGCTGGCTTGTTGGCTTTGCAAACGGAGGCTGGAGGCTATGATGCCCCTCGGGACGGAGGCACTGCTGAAGCAGACAGCACCCAGCCGCTCCCGCCTCAGGGACATCTGAGGGCGCCATGTCCTCACAGCACACAGAGCCCCCCCATTGCAGAGCCCCTCGCTGTGGCTCAGACCCTGTTGTATTTTTCAGTAAGTTCCCTGGCTAGTGTCCTCCGAGGAGGCCCATACCTCACTCGGCTTTGACGTAGCTTCTGGCCTCTGGCCTCAGGGATGTCAGGAGGTGCACCTGTGACCGGGAGGCTCCACTTTCCAAGCTCCCTTATCCCCTTCCTGCCACCTATCAGCCTAAGACACTGTTGTGTGGGTTTCAGTCCCACGTTCTTTGTTCCCATCCCTGGGCACGTGTGGCCATATGTGTGAACGCACAGGTTCAGGCGAAATCTCCCATCTCCGCAGAACAGCCCGTGTCCCCTCAGGTGCGAGAACCGCTCTGAAAGTGGAGCTTTCGGCTGAGCACAGCGTGTTAGACGGGAAACCATTGCTGTGTAAGCCTCCAAAGTTTCTGAAACACCTTTAGGATCTAAAGTTTGGAGAGTAGGGTGGGGGGAATGTCTTGCCTTAAAAAGAAGTGGCGCATTCTCACTTTATTTCTTCCACGAATACGTAAAAGGAAATTCTTTCGAAGGTGAGAGCATTTTGAATCCTCTATAAAAATTTCTGACTTGGGCCAAACTAGTTGCCCACCTTGTTTTCTCCATCTTTTCTGCTCATCCCGTTCTCTGAAGTCCAAGCGCAC